CTTCCGATAAAATAGGGGCTCCTGTTGCTCGATTTTCATCGATCCAGCGAATCTTTAATATCGCTTTACGCCTGTCGACTGGATCCGAACCAGTTTAACGTCATTTCTCGTGCTCTTCTCTTTCGTCCACTCGGTTTATCGTTTCTTCCGAGAAAATTCCACGACGAGCATCGTTTCCCTGGTTTCGAGCATCGTCCAGTCCCGCGTTATCTGCGAAAGAACCGCAAATGTTTCTTTACAAAGTAGCCTAAGTACCATGATTCGAGTTTCCTCTGTTAGTTTCTGCATCTCCTCTCGTCACCTCGACGTTTCGAGTTCTCTCCCGCCGTATAATTAGCCAAGTTATCGTTATTTCATGCAGCCATGGACACTGCTAATGACCTTGCTCGTTGATACTCGATTTATCAATTTTTACGCGAACTTATAGAGCACGGCAAGATGTTATCGTCCTTCTGCGAGACTCCTTTCTCTCGGTCTTCTTCATTATCTGCTTTCATGCGTTGGTTCATTGTACCGGGCTGCCTTTATGCCGGGCCTCTCTATTGTAAAGGATCTTCTTTCAATTTCCATTGTCCACCGCCTCGATATTTTTCCTCTTTCGAGTTTTGTCTCCGTCTTGCAATTGCTCGGTTTTTCTTCCAGACTAATTGCTCCTTTTGTCGTGTCCCTTTTCAAGAAATTTATTCCCTTCGTTCCATTCAGCTCCCTTCGGTTACGGCTTCGGCAGTCGAAAAAGGTTGCTGAAAAATGTCCTCGCTCGAGTGTCACGGTATGCCTCCTCTGTATTTAAACAGGATAATTTTATTTTCGGAAATTAACCTCTTCAGGGCGAAAATACGAGTGCCTATGCGTAGATAACCGGACGAATTTGACGAATTAAAATTCTTTTGCAACGAAATTAGACCGTTTATATCGTTTTACAAATTTATTTTGAGACAGAGCTTTCTCGCAATGCGAAGAATAAGACGCCATCGCATACGCAACGATGCATCGTCGTTGGTACTAAAAGGGTTAAGACCAAACTAACGTGCTTTCTAATTCTCCAACAATTCGGAAATTTCAGAATTTTTGAGAACTTTATTCGAAGACAGAGGGCGTACAATTGATCATCGGAGAAAATTTTCACTCAGGGCCGTACATACACAGCAGTACCCCAATTCTCAAGTGCAGGTTTCCCACAGTGCACGTTCGTCCATGACTTCCATACTACCTTGAAATCCATTCGCGTTACCTTCGCACCGCACCACGCGATTCATCCTCGTTCTCATAAAATTTACGCAGTATCCGTGCATATTTCAAAAACAACATCAAGCCGAGAGGTATCGGGAGTTACATCTGGAACCCTCTCGGCCAATAAATAACCGCGAACACGCTATTCATCTGCAGCCTCTCATTCTCACTCCCATATCGATTTTACCCTTCGACAATGTCCACGCTCGCCTACCGAACAGCTCCATTGGCCTACCGCGAAATCAGATAGCATTCAGAACGTCGCGCCGTCGCGTTTCTCGGATCCACGGTGCTCCACCACCGCGAGACGTCCGTTTCCCGTTAGTTCGTCAGTTAATAAGATTTCCTGTTGATCGGTTGCAGGGACGAGGCGTAGGATGGGCCCGACCGCGCGAGCAGTCGTGCTACACTGAAGAGGAGGAGCTCCCCTGAAGAAGAGAGAGAAGGAGGAAGGAACGAAGGATGCCTGCCTCGCAGACCGCCGCCACGGAGCGGCGAAACGAGAGGATGGTGAGTATCCTTTCTACGGTTGCCGTTTCCGCAGGAAGCCACGGACAGCAGAGGCGATAGGGGATGCGAGATGAATGCTTTAGGAAATCGTGTCCCATTTTCTCCTCGAACGCGCGAATAGAAGTGGCTCTTATTCACAGGAAGTTACGCGTTTAACAGATAGGAGAATTCGCGCGTTCGCCAGTTGCGATATTTATGGAATCGGGAGATCGCTTTAATTTGTCTCAAATTAAAAATCCACCTTGAAAGTGGAATTTCGAGTCGAGGCTGCTGCTACGATTCGCATCAAGATTCGGATTCCAAACGAAGAAACGGTGATAAAATCGGTACGCGCCGATTCTCGGTCATTTTGAAACCCTGATCGGATCTACGTCGATTAAGTTTGATTAACGCTAGATTTACGGAACCCGTCAATTTGACGGATGGGTTGCTCCAATTATACGATGGTAACAGATTTAGTTAGCTTATATTAGTACTGTTAATATTGTAATTGTTTTTAAATTAAACTAATCATTAAAATAAAAATGACACGTGGTTCCCTTTACTTGTCAGTTTGACAGGTGTCTAATATGTAGAAATAGGTATGCAGATAGCGTCCGTAAACCTAGTGTTGAACCGGGATACAATGGTTGCTTAGGAGAGGGATAGTAATGTTTTTCTGTTTCTAATTCTCTGAATCTTTAATTCGATTCAATCTTCAGCTTTCAGAAACGAAAGATATACTTATCGCCGTTTCTGCGAAGAATCGCGTAATTGCATTAACGGTGTAATTAAAAAATTAATTCCAAATACGTAGAAACTGAAGCGAAATCTTGCAGAATATTTTAGTATCGCAATCATATTCGTAGGATGTTGAGCGAATTAATAGTTGGTCATCGAGAGAATACGATGAATTCATTTTCTTTTTTACCTTTTAACATGTCATGCGGAATGACACGTGCTCCAATTATATAAGCATCGCGTAAAATATATGGAAATTAGCTCGCCATATTCTTATTCAAAGAAGACCAGTGGGAATAGTAAAAAATAAATGTAACGCTATAAATCTTCCGCCCTCGGAGTCGAGGCGAACTGCAAAGTCGAAAATGATACTTGACGTCATTTCGGTAGAAAAAGCGAGATAATTGCATCACGGTATAATTAAAAAAAAAATTAATTCTGAATGCGTAGAAGACGAAGTGATATTTTTTTAAGACGGTTCCACTTATCAGGCTTAAGCGTACAAGAATTATGCACGGGTTGGAGGCGGGTAATTAAAACGACGTCACCAGTAACGCTTGCATCGGGTTCACAGAGTATGAAAGAGTTAAAGGGACAAAGGAACAGAACAGAACAGGAATTTTCCAGAAGCCCGACCGACAATCGTCGCTAACTACCGCGCAGCGATTCGCAACGATGTTCGCTTTTGAAAGCCTTAGTACCATAGAAGCGTGATTCCGCTTCCGGTTGGTCAACGATGCGGTAACAGCAGTTTTTGCTCGGTTATCGACGTTAAACTAGAAACTGATTACTTTTTTCCCTTTTCACTCTTCGTGTTCTCATTTTTGCCCGTGTCGTGTACTTTGTTCCGCTCTTTCATCACATTCTACATCTTCTGCCTCATATTCCCTCAATTTATTTCTTACCCGAGAGCCTTCTGCTTCGAATTCATCGGAAAAAGTTCCGATTGAATATTAAAGATGTTGTTATTGTCACGGCCCTTATTAATTTTCGTTATTTATTTGCTTTACTTATTATTCTCGTGCTACTTTTTCGTTTAAATCGACTGTGACCGTATATAGCGATCCGTGTCTTCGTTCCATCGCGCTACTTCCTGCTCTTGCGTCGATCAATGACTCGTTTTGACCCACTCTTTCTTAAGTGATCCTTCAAACGATGACCGATCGTTACACTTCATAAGGGCTGCACCCTCTCGTTACGCGAATCTCCATTTCAAATGGACTTCAAGCTTCTTCGTCGTATTCCGAAGGACGCATTGTTCTCGTCTAATTGAAATCTTTTAAATTCCTATTTGCAAATAAATATTGATATTCGTGAAAGCCGAGTATTCAGTGGGTAATTTATTCGTTATTTCAGATCACACACGAGCCACCAAAATTAAAAACGACTCTGAAAACGCCTCCTAAGCAAGCGACCAATCCTCTTCAGTTCGTTAAAGTTGGACCATGTTCTTTGTATCGCACAGCCCAAGAACAGCTGCAAAAGGTCCAGGAGGTGAAGAAGATAAAGCAAGAAGTTCGCGATGATCCCGAAGATTGGCAATCGGTAAGCTCGAATACCTATTCGGTGATAACTTAACAACCGCGACGAAATCTGAATAATTCTTTTCTGTAGAATTGTAAAATCGTGACAAATATTTCGTAGAATTTTCAACTATTAAATTATTATTGGAAAAATGTCTCGGATACCTTACAATGCTAACTCGTTGCCTCTGTGATGTGTTCAGAATCTGGACAACTGGAAGAGTAGTCGAAGGAAGCGTCAGGAGCACATCATCGAGCGGGTGGTCGAGGTTAAGAAACTCGAGCTGGAGGAACACGATCGGCAGCGTCGTCGAAGCAAGACTTTCTCGGAAATGATGGAAGAGAGAGGCAATAGGGGTCGGAAACTGAGCATCAGCTTGGCCATGTACCATGAGGAAGATGCCAATGATCTGAGTGACCTTGGTATAGGCACCAGCAGCGGAAAGAGCTCGGTTAGCGGTGACACCCACGATGACACGCACAGTGTCTTGGTAAGACTCCTTCACAGTTTTTGCATAAATTTACATGAAATATAATTTAGCTATACACTTTGTACCAATGAGATGAATCTAAAATCTTGTAAATATTTTATAAGACGTATATTCTTTTCTAAAAAAATAAAAAATTGGTATATATCTTTACCGTTCAATACTTCGAAAATAGTATTATGACAATTGCCGCTATTATCGCATAGAAACGAAAATTCGAAAATGTTCTTTCAGAGCGACAGAGACAGCGAGATAGAGAAGAATCACTCAGACGTGGACAACGTGACAAGCGAAAGCGTGATCCATAACGATATCACGACATCGTCGGCGACCACGACAGCAACGACGACAACGACGACGAAGAAACCGTTTGGGAACGGGTTTCACAGCAACCATAGTCACAACAATCAAGAGTACGATTCCGCGACAACGGCGACGACCAGCTCTCCGGAACCGGAAGAGTACACGTACGAGGGTGCGATTCGCGGTTACGTGTCGCGGGTGTCGCAGAACATACCTAGGCGATCATTGGTCAACCTGGACTCGAAGCTCGACAGCGTAAAGTCATCGACGAACGGCTCGAAGACAAGCCTGAACGACGAAGCAAAGTCCACTATACCGGTAGTCAAGGTGGACATTCTAAAGAGGCGAGAGATATTCGAGAAAGCCTCGCAGAAGAGCAACGAGAGCAAAGTGAACAACAGGCTCTCCGGCGATTTCACCGGTACGAAATCGATCAAGGAAAGGCTCTCGAATCTGGAGAAGCAGAAGCACGAGGCAGAGAATACCGAGAAGACCGGGAACAAGGCGTTGAACAGACTGTCGGGTGACATGAGCTCGATCCGTGAAAGATTATCTCATCTGGAGAAGCAGGCGGCGGAGAGGGAGAACAAGAGTTCCGCGCATCGTAAGCTGAGCACCGAAGAACTGGAGACAGTCAGACCGCTCCGAGATAGATTGTCGACCTTGGAAAAATACAGCAGCAGCGACGAGTCATCGGCACCTGGCACCGCTCACGAGTCACGACACAATGGCGAGCTGTCCGCCAGATCGATAAAGGATCGTTTGAGCGCTCTGGACGCGGCCAGGAGCAAAGAATCAGCCGATAAGAGATCCTCCGTGGGCAAGCATTCTCTATGCTTCCGGGATCAAGAGAACAGAATCGACACCTCGACTCCTAGCGAGAGAAGCTCGTCGCCTGACTCAGAGTATCGCGTGCCAAGAGCCGCCTTCCATAGAAGCCTGGATTCTCTGGACGCGGACGCTTCCAGCGGTCCTGACACGTTCGAGCGCGTGCAAAGCTTGGAGGAACTCGATTACGGCAGACGTTATCCGGCGTCCTCGTCGTCCGCTGAGCTGCTGAACGATACCGATCGCGAGGATTCAGGGATTCACACGGCTGACGTCAGCTGTTCCGTCAGCCAAGCCGACGAACCGGTAGACGAGGATATCGTGCACGCTAGCACGGTCATAGAGAGACAGGAGGTGATCGAGGAGAAACCGGAGGAACTTCGTGACGTCGAGACGGCGAACGAGACCATCGTTGAACAGAGCGCCGCTGTATCCGTGAACGAGATCTCGACGACTTCTGCCAGTCAACCGGAAGCAGTAGTAGCAAAGAAGGTAAGGCGTAACGACGGTGTTGCATGGCAGTTTCTCTACTGGGTAAATCTACTTTTAGTTGTCGTTATATCGACTTGGCTGGCGTATGTAAAAGTGAGACTATTGAGTGGGGTATAAGTTGAATTGCTTGTCGTTCGCGGAAACTTCTCTTTATAATACGAGTACGAGTAATTAGATTGTTAAGATTAAGTTTTCGGGTCGGTTTCATTTGTGAAGGACAGTCGTGAAGTAACGTTTACCATTTCCTTTCCCCTGATCGTCGGACAGAGCGTGTCAATCGCGTTTACATTTCTCGCGAGATCGATTCGAAGAAATTCCTCCAAGCTATTCTAATTTCCTTTGTAATTTTACGAGCTGTTACTTCACGACTGCGCCTCAAACTCTTTTAACAATCGCGACTTTGAGTCATAACCTACTATTCTTGTTGTTTGGTAACGGGATGGCAGGTAGTACGATCTATCCAATAACTCTTTGGTTCTCTAGGGTACTGCTGACACTTCTGGGGAACTGTCGACTAACAAATCACAATCGCAGGCACACATAGAGGTTACTAACTCTAGTACACTTCGTTCCTGTCCTGCTACGAGTCGCCCGATCGTATATCAAAGTCCCAAAGTACCTCCGCGACGATCACCTCCCGAAACGCTTCCCAAACCAAAGTTGCCTACCCCAAAAGAACATACCGAGACCAAAACAGATTCTCTGCCCGCTAAGGAATCGAACTCTATTGCGTCTAGCACCAAGCTTCTCGCAGACGAGCAGGATCCCAAATTCGGTGTCGACGAGAAGGGTCAGAGTGTCTCGAAAGAGGACTCGACCAAAGTTATGGGCTCGTCTCCAGTATCATTAGACTCTGCTGTCGCAGACAATTTTCCCCTGTCACCTACCAGGGTGACAGCCGTTCCAACCAACCTTCAGTTAGAGTCTAACGCTACCTCAGCTTCGAACAGTGCCGCGAAAGAAGTTCCAAAGACCACACCAGTCACGTCTCCACGGGCAGCATCCAAGATTCCCACGCCACTTCCCCGGAAGACGATAGGCGCCAAGTCGTCCCCGACCAGTTCTACGTCCTCCCTTAGCCCACCTATTTCCCCATCTTCCCCGAAAACGCCGTCACTGAAAGGAAGAACGTCTAACGTTAAGAGTCCAACTGGTCAGATATCGTCACCTCAATTCCCGAAAGCATCAGAGATACCGATCCCAGTCGGCTCCAACGTGTCGTCTAGCTCTAATATCCCCGTCTCACCTTCCTCGAACCTGGAACAGTCACCCTTGGCATCCTTTAGCACGAAACACCTCTGCTCCCCCACGTCCAGCACGAAACACCAGGTGACGGTGGGTGAAGAGACACTGCCTGCAGAAAGACGCCGAACGGTGGTGGAAATTTGCGAAAAGGTGGTGGTACCTCAGGGCAAGACACCTACGACGCCTCCAGTGACGCCATTCATCACCGTGGATCGCGTCAATGAGAAGCACAGCTCAGCGACCGAGGTTAGGATCGATCAGCAATCTAGCAGCCCTTTGAAAAAGTCTTAAAGGGGGGAGCGAGAATCGTTCGTCTCTTTGGTTATCCTCGCGTAGCACATTGTCTCTCGCCCTTATGTTAGACCTAGCTTCGTCTAACTTCCATTAGATCTTGTACATAAGAATGGGCTTTAGAAACGGGTGTCCAAGTGGCGGGGAATTGCAAACGATTAAACAACCGTGCGAGAGGATTCGGCGACTATGCAGAATCGAGTAAGGGGGGGGAGTGTCTTCTAACGTAAAATAACCAAACGGGAACAAAAGTACTTCTATCACGAGCTTATATCTCAACTACCTGAACAATTCCATTATCGTGCCTCGATCGTTTTCGCGATGACTAGCGGTCTCCGACCGGAACGACCAAAATGAAGGATTTTCGAACACCGACGAAATCGCGGAGAGTCATATTTTCGTGTCTCGAATCTGTCAGATGAGGAAACTGAATCCCGCCACTTAGGACTCCTGAATAATATAACCCGTCTTCGCCTATCGCTTCCACACGTATTTATTATCCGCCATTACGCACAAATCTCGCTGGAAACGAAGGCGTGAGACCATAGCTAACGATGTAAATAGACGACGCAGGAGCAAAACGTACATAATAACCCCCAGTATCGAGTAGAATTAGATCAGGTAGCCGGAAACACGTACTAGCCGGAGGTAAACGATGTACCAGTTCGTAGGAACGTGGATAATCGCGATAACCAGTAACGAAGTGGCCTAATCGAGCAGGGAACAGAATTTTCGACCTAAACACCGATGCCTAACGCGATCGATCGCTGCCTAACGTAAAACGAGTCGTGAGATATTGTGATAACAGAATTCGAGAGACTTTCGTGAACCACCTTTAACGATATTCTTGCTATTGCTATGCTAATATTCTCATGGGGAGGAAAAATGGGCCACGAAGGAAAGAGAGAGAAATAGAAGAGAAGGAATCGCGAATACCATCGTTCTCTGAAGTACTCTGAGCGTAAGACTTCGTTTTAGATTAACTTGTAACCGATCCTAACACGACCTGTCGACACTTGGCGCGCACTAGTGGACAACGATCGATTGTAGCGCCTGGGAGAGGCGCATGCGGTTAATGAAATATAAAATTCAGTGGGCAGAGAAATTTGTCGTGTCGTGTTTCCATCGTAACCGCGGACACTGAGATTTCCTTCGGAAAGGGACTTTGAAGCACGAATGAATCAATGTCGCCGAGATCGAGAAACTCGCATCTATCCCGGAACTCGTTTTCTCGTACTCGTTTCGATCTTCGTTCAAGGACGATCGACTTGGGTTCAATTTTGCTTCGAAAAATCCCTGTGTCGCTTCAACGATAATTATCGAATGCCTTTGAATTGGAACGACGCACTGGCGAAAAATGTGGAATTTAAGATTTGCAGATCAGTTTACCATTGTCTTCGTCACCCTGAATTGTTCGAAATAAAAGATGGAAATTCCGCTGAGTATATTCGAAACGCCTGAATCGCAAATAAAGGGGAAACAGTATAAATTTTCAAACTGTCTTCCATCTGATTTGTGTCAACCCAGCTCTGAACGAGATTGACGCGCGAGAAGCACGATAGCCATGATCGACGAACCAAGTCGTGGATCGGAAATCGGCTTATCGCTTGCACGATATACGTGTCATCGGTGAACAACGACTCGAGCCTCAGACGTGCAGTTGCAATCCACCGACAAACGCGTGCGAAGTGGTCGTCCTCGTGAACCGTGGGTCGGAGGTTGGGCAGACTGACATTTAATTATTACGAAAGACACTCGTAACTGACCCACGCCACGATAAAAGTGTCCTGAATTGTCGCGATTAATCGGTCCACTATGTCGAGTCGACGCGTTCGTTCTTTCGTCGCGTTCGCATAATCGGTGCATTGAACGAGGTAAGAACCGTGTGGCACTGGTGAAATTAATTTTTTGATCCTTGAGAAAGATTTTTTTACTGACCAAGTGTCTCTGGCTTCACCCTCTCCCCGCATAATTTCCCAGTTATTAATCAGTAATGTCATTAATATCGAATCTTCGTTGCCATACTGGCCGTAAGAATAATCAAGAATCCTTTTTCTTCGTGCGACCAGAGTATCTTTTCCGAATTATTTTTCTTGATTTCGATTCTCTTTTCTCTATCCTCGTATAAATTGTTGGCTTCGAGGTTCGTGGAAACTTTGAGGAAATTATTTTATTTTATTTTATCCACCGACACGGTCAAGAAGAGTAATTTTATCGATGGTAGAAGATCCTTCCGTCTTTTACCTAGCTTGCCTGCCGTAGAGCATCGTCAACGATCATCGTCGTGCAATTTCAAGCAAGTGTCCTAAATCTAAGCTCCGCTACTGTAAAGAGGTAAGACGGCGCTTTCGATTGTTCAAGCTAGCGATAAACCCCACGATCATGTGTTTTATTTTTCTCCCCACGATTGGATATACTACTTAGTTATCCCGCTTATCGCTAGTTTTACTATCTGCTATCGACCCGAGACTATCTGCATGGCTCCAGCTTAATTGATTTTATCAATCTTCTCTTAGTTCCCTCTTAATCTCCGTTTGAGTATCAACACAGTTTTCCTTCCTCTTTAGAAGAGGTTTACCTAAATCAGATTTTTCTTGCAACGTTACGTAGATAAATCAGATACTTCGTGCGTCACGTAGAATTGATTATGACAGATCACTTGATTACGTTAGGCTGGTTATTATTTATCGTACATTAGTTATCGAGATGAATCAAAGTTTTCTACGCGACATAAACTTTCTGCACAACTTGTTGTTTCTATTTTGACAAGTTGGATAAAGTTCCAGGTCATCGTGAAATCGTCATGAAATCATCGTGAAAGCAATTGAGCGCCGGCAGCACTCGTTCTGATCAGCTTTCGAAGTTATAAAGGATATTCCTCGGTGACCTAAGCGTTAAATTTTCCCGTTTAACGTAAACTCGTCGATCTTTGCACTTTGAAATAATTATCTCCCCGGCACCGTTTCGAATACTCGTAAATCCGTAGTTTCTCGGTATGGTATCTTTATTGCAACTTCCATTTCAGCGAAAACCGGCCGGATAATTTTTAATCTTCGCTTTCTCTTCGAGCCTCGATTAATAAAGTTCAGTCACGAAAACCTTGATTGCGTTTATATTGAAAAATTTATTGTTCTGTTTTGCGGGAAAGAAGACAAGTGGAATTAGTATGATTGATTGCGGGCAATTCGAAATTAACACTTCCATTTCGTGGAAGTTTCTTGGATGTATCATGATTAATCGCGATTAACTAACGATAACCGAGCTATTAAACATCGGGATCTTGTATTTTTACTCAACTTCAAAGTCTTCAATGAAAGACTGCGTACTTTCAATCGGAAATTTCGTTTTAGAAATCATGATACGGTGAATATGATCGATTCGACGTTTCATCGAGTCTACTTCAAACTTCTCAGTTCAGAGATCTCGTCTACTTTCGAAATATCTCACGACAATTCTTTATTTCCCCCGAGTCGAATTATTTTTTGAAAAATTAGCAGAAATTATTATACAGAGACAATTAGAGGGAAAAATTTCCTTGATTTTCTTGTAAATTCAAAAGGTATCAGCTTCCAATTATTTCACTTCCGTTATTATACGATGCAAATGCAAATGCTAATTTGCATTGAATTTTAGAACAAAGAACATAGGCATCAGCAAGCATAGTCACGTCCCTACCTTTGCAATTAGATTCAGATAAACGTTATCATTATTGCCGAAAGGTCTTATCTTTGTTTGCTCGCACTTCGTCAGTCGGCGACAATAACACGTGACATCATATTTGCACGAGAACTTACGAAATCGTAAACTGCATGCAGAACAATCGCTTCTTGTCGTTGGTGCATGTACTCATGTGACTAAACACGTTTTCGATCGACTACAGAACTCTTCGCGATTAATAGTAATTATCGGAGTACCAGTGTCCCCATTTTCTAGAGGCACATTTTTCATTCGCCTTATTTTCTTTCATTCGCCATTATAAATAACGTTTTGAAAACGAGTTTGCAAGATCTGCTTTGTTTTAAATCGATATCGTCGTTTGATGTGTACAAGTTCACTAGTCTCTTCTTTCCTCTTAATTGTTAATTCACACAGATTAACCTTTCGTCTCGAGTGTTCATCTATTGCACGGATTTGATGAGGCTAAAAGCACACGATAGTCATGCATGAACGCTGGTGCATCGGTGTCTATCGTACACGAAAAACAACAATAGACAAGCAAAACGAGACCCGTAGAATGCAAAATAATCTTCCATCCGAAACTGCAGTTGCTTCTCAAGTTGTTGCTCGAAATCCAGTGTTTCTCAAGCTTTATTCTCTCAGCAAATGATTCTTAATTAAACGTCCCTCGTTGGAAAAAACATACACATGAAATAAAAAAAAAAAAAAATAAACCCCATCACCGTATTTACTTACTCAGCTATCATAATTACATATTTACATATAACGATAAAATAGGTAGAACTGCAATCGCAAAGTTAACGAAATATTCTCAGAAGCTTCAAAATATGAACGGACTCTATCGCGTGTCTCTCCACGGCTCGTGAAACACCGGGAAAAGAAAGCGCGGAAAAATGGGCGCGGAATTGGCGCGATCATCGATCACTCGCGGCGCGAGTTCGTTAGGCGTGCGAGAAACGGGCCGATATCGGTAAAAGGGTCGCGCGGAATCGGTTGGCGAAAGTTTGAGAAACCCTGGTCCGCGGGCGTAGCACGACGGTGTCGATTTGCATAGAATGTGGCGTTGCAAAATTCGTGGCGGTGCTAGCCGTAAGCCCAGTTCCGTACGGCAGAAGCAATAACGCAGAGCGCGTCTCTTCAGGAACCGATCGTTATCGAGAAAGCGGACGACGAGGAGGCAGCGGCGATTTGCCAGCCGAGCCCGCCAGTCGAACACGAAGAGCACGAGGAAAAGGAAGCGGCGATGAACGGAAAGATCGAGCCGTACGAGCCACCGGCACGAAAGTCGATCGAGGAGTCGATCGACGCGCACGATGCACCTGAGACCGAGCCCGCGAACGTCCCTGCGCCTGAAAGACCGACGACCTTGACCTTCGGCAAGCAGGAAATCGCCATGGTGGACACGATGAGCCTGCTCAGCCCCATATCGCCGATCTCGAAACAGGTAAGGGGATATGGCGCTTACTACCCTCGTTTCGCTCATCCGAATCGGATCGCGATTGGGAGATGGATTGCAAGTTTGCTGCTATATTAGGCATTTGCATAGAATGGTTCTTATTCTTCCATTGCGTTAGCTTTCTTTTCCTTTTTTTTTTCCTATTTTTGTTTCTTCCGAGTCAGTGGTATTGGTAACGAAACGATTGTTCCGCGAGTTTGTAGCATAGCCGATGAGAAAGTAGCTCTAACTATGGTTTGTTCTATTGTGATGCACTTTTACTTGCGACGTCTGATGGGTTACGGGTACGTGCGTTTGTGTGCACAGTTTCTGTATAAAATCAAGCAGTTCTGTATAAATACTCGTTTGCTTTTTTCTCCTTGCATGTAAGGTATACAGGACGATTCTCTCGTTAGATTGGCAAACCTGAACACCTGAAACTAGCGAGCGAATCACTCTGTACGCGTACATGTTAGGTGATTAGTCATTTTCTAGCACCGTCGCTGTCACTTCAACGAGACAATTTTTATTTTGTTTTCTTTCCACAGAACTTTATATCTTGGATCATGTATAGCGTATGTTCTTCATTTCGATTTTGTTTTTATTTTCACAGATTTTGCCGCTGAATCTATCCAGCGACGAGGAGATAGTGGCCGGTCTGGCGTTTCCTCTGGGGCCCCCGACCAGCGGAGAGCCTCCAAAGGAGAAACCACCGCCGCCTCCAGTGGATATCAGCGACGAGGAGAGTCTCCCAGTTGAACCGCTGAAGAGATTGAATTCTACCCGGAGAATAAAGAAGGAACTACGCACGAGGCGCTCCGATTTCCTCGGAATCGAAGGGGTACGCGATCGTTGTTTCTAATGCCATTGCATCGAATTGTTCTCGATTTCCTCGTTGTCGGACGTATTGAAATATTCAGCACGAAAAAGCGCGTACGAGACACGAAATTTTTCCACGGCACCATCCCGCTCGTACTTTCGTTTCTTCTCACGGCTCTCCACCTCCCTCGATGGCTTTCACTTGTTTCCGGAAGCTGTTGGTGTTCCGCGGCGGTTGGCGCACCCGCGTTTAACGTTGCGAAAGATCGTATCGCAGGCGTAACATCGTTTAATGATATTAATTGGAGCACGTGAATGGATTTACGTAACTCACAATCGCAATTATGCACGTCAGTGTAGCCTGATGAAATTCGCATGCGCGTTCGTTGACCGCGATACACCAGAAGCGTGAAGTTCCTGTGACCGAGTCCTCTCGATAGCTTCGATATTTTTCTGCTCGATGAAATATCGTCCTTGTTTCAACTTCGCCAACAAATTTTCGAAGCCACCTTTTAGATCCCGGGATAAATATTTCAGCTCTCGTAACCCTTTGCGGACGGAGCAGTTTTGAGTAAACCGTACCGTGAGGCCTAGCCGCTGCCAAGATTCAGTCATTAAGTTTCTACTTAAACGCGATTTTCGTTCATAGGGACGTTGGCAATAAGGACGTAGAACAGTCCACCATTTAATTTAGGACGTGCGGTCCTAGGGCCATAGCAACGCGTTTACGTGGGACACATTTGTGAGTCCCTCGGTCCTATCAGTTGTTTCCGTCAAACGCAAATATGCGGCGCTCGTTCGCAAAGGATTAATTAAAGCAAAGATTCCGATATGAGAAACCGACGAGACGACGGTGCAACGTTTCGATTCACAGGGATAAAGCAAGAAATATCAAGGGAAGATGTTACATTGTTCTGTCAAAATGACGTAACAATTACAGAGCAGACTATCTCGATGAATAACGTAACATTTCGTAACCACCTAGAAGAAACTTACACGTAAAATCGTATAGTCGAGATAGATACGTTTATGCTTGGAGAGTGCGTACTTTTTTCGATATTTTGAGCAATTCTGTTCGGTTTCCAGGTGAACGATGACGAGTTGGAACGGGAGCTAACTCTGACGAAGCCTCCAGACATGGCGGCGATCCTGGCTGAGGAGAGACGCATCGAGCAGCTTCATCGTCGTTCGTACGACACTGACAGCAATTACGAACAGGACTCCAGCCACGAGAGAGACTCCGGCGTGGAACTGGGCCACGCTGAAGATTGGACCAAGCAGCCAGTTAGCCCTGACATGTCCCAGCACAGTCGCCAAAGCAGCGAACCGTTCGGCGCGAGCGTGACATCTTCGGAAGAAGACGAAATCACGAAGAAAGAAAGGGAGATCATCGAGGTCCTCGAGAAAGAGGAGCAGTGGCGGTACGACAACAATCGTGAGATGAACAGGTAGGAATTCCCCGCGGCAATATGTATGATGTTGGTATATTGTAATCATCGGCTAGGCACGATGTCGCTTCTCTGTGGACGAATTGTACATTTCTTCTTCTTCTTCTTCTTCTACTTCTTCTTCTTCGAACGTCTCGCGGGATTAGGTGTAACGTGACACACGTTTCCGAATTTCGCCGGCTTTCTAGCTCTAGGTAGATGATTCTTACTTTCTCGTTTCTTTTGAGTTTCACCGAGGTAACGCGTGCTTGAGGTTCTCTTTAACGTTTCTCCTGGATGTTTGCACGAAGATTCTTGTAATTTCTTGTCGCCGGTAGCATGCCAGTGAAAACGAAGACGCCATTATCGCGCAGCACAGCTCGCTACTTATTCGTTATTTATTTCTCGTTGATTATCCCAAGGTAAAGATTATCTCTGTAAAATCGAGTTCTTCCTAAATTTTAGACACGTCTATCTAAATTCAAGCTCGCGAACTGGTGTCTTCGATGATCGCTACACCGAACCGATATCTCTAAGCGTGTCTTGTGTATGTACATAACGAAACTACGAAGAATTTGTATCTCGGGATCAATGTACAAAAGGGTGATGAATAAAGTAAACACTTTTACCTTGAACTGATGGTCCTTTCCTGCCGCTTTACTATCTGCTATCGCTCGTTACTCTGTCCGACCGTCTCTGCCTTCTCGAACCCTATAATCTCTCCTACACGTAGAAAAATCGGCGAGCCGGAAAACCCGTTAAGTCGAGTAATCGAGAAATTCATGACGACACAGTGACTTGGGCGAGAAATTGGCGCACAAGCTGCGCGAGTTGGAAGAGGAGAAGATGCAGCTGGAGAGAGAGCGGGCGCAGGAAGCGGCCCTGCGACGACAGGAAGAGACCCTGCGCAAGAACGAGGACAACATACGAAAGCAGGAGGAGATGAGGAAACAGCAGGAGGAGTCGGCGAGGCAGCAGGAAGCGGCGCGAGCTGAGGCGGAAGCGAAGCGTGCCGAAGAGAAGAGGCAGGAGGAAGAGCTGAGAGCCCAGGCTGAACAGCTCAGGATTCAAAATGAGATCGAGGAGGAGAGGAGGGTGGCTGATGCCCGACGCATCGAGGAAAAACGTATTAGGGCCATGGAGAGTCAGATTCGAGAGCAAGAGGTATGTATCTTCAGTTCTCCTTCCAGTTTTTCGTTTTTCTTTTTTGTTTTTTTTTGTTTTTTTTTTCAATTTTTGTTCTCGTTGGGTTTTGTCGTGTGGGTGCGGATGCTTTGGAACAGTGTTGAGTGAGACGTAGAGTTTGGTTCACAGTACGAGGTAGTCTGAGTCTCGAAGGCAGAGAGAGTTTGTATTTCTGTGTTCTGTATAATGTCCTGGAAGTAATCTCGAGATATATGACTTCGAGAGAATTTTTTGGTGGTCGTACATATTTTTCCCCACACCGATAAAGCTTTCTTAATGATATCACGTGATATTAAGTTACACCAGTTATATGGAAATGGTTCCACGTTTGAACTTGACGATTTCGTAAAATATTTTGGGCTTTGTTGTCAGGAACGATTGATGATTTAACCCTTTGCGCTCGACGATGTTTTGGCTACAGAGGGGTACGAGTTGAACAATTTTCGTCCATAAGGCTGATGATATCTTTTGAGCAGTAAATAAGAAATCGTATAATAATTAGCACATAAATTTATTCAATTTCGATACCTGTTACATTATTTTAAATTTGATACATTAATTAATATCGAGCTTCGAAATTTTATCAAATGGTGACCTAGAGGCATCTCTCGAGTGCAAAGGGTTAATGTTTCATAATTAACCACTTCCTGTATTTTCACGAGTCTGACTCGTGACAAAGATTTTGGCCCAAACGTGAATATCACGAGCCAGACTCGTGGACGGAACATTTTTCTAAATATAGTTTCGAAACTGTCATCTGTTATAAAATAAAATACGTTTATAATATTTATAATATTTATATTTATAATATTTATGAATATTAAGGAAAGTTATTAAATATTAAGGAAAAAGAATTAGAGTTTATTTCCACAACAGTAGCGTCGCGTAAAACTGACTATATCACGCGTGTTTACATTTCGACTCGTATTTCGACTGGTTTCGAGCGCCAGTCTGGTTTGTGTACCACGCGTTGACGCCTACAGTTTGGGCCCGGAGCTCGTCGAGCTAAATGGCACGGGAAGTGGTTACAGAATGCGTGGAAATACGTACTCGATACTCAAATCGTGTCCATTCGTGAAATAAACCTACTTTTTCCTTATTTTTAAGAAGATCGTTGAGAAACGACAGTTTTCACCAGATAGGAAAGGCTAACTATCCTCTCAAAACTGCATGCTGTAAATTAAGTATATCGCACTGTAAACGTTAACGGGAGTATCGTTGATAATTATTCGCAGAACACGGCGTTGGTTGGTGCTGGTTTGAACGACGAAGAAGACGAGTTTGCTTCCGGGGTAAGGGAACAGTACCTTTCGTAACTTTTGCCAGTTTCTTTCGATGCTTGCTTCTAACAAAAACGAGGCAACCTAGCAAGATTTTAAATTCTATTTTCCGAGCTTCGTATATATATATATATATAAAAAGAGAGAAATCAATTATTTCAAATCTTCCACGTCTTGAAAATGAAAATTCAGATAAATAAAACAGGTAAATAACGATTAATCGTGATTGACCGATTCTTTTTCTTTTTATCTTCGAGCAGGAAGTCCTGAGAGTGGAAAGAGAATTGCTGCAGTTAGAACAGGAGGAACTGAAGCGTCAACGAAACAATTTGGCGTATCGCGAACAGAAGCAACTTAAATTGGCAGAACAATTGCAGGAGCAATGGAAATCCTTGCAGGACGTTGCACACAGCTCTGCGAACAACATACAGCAATTCAAGAGCCAACCACCAGTGAATTACAGATCGTCGATGCCGAATCTTCAGCTTCAGGACGTGCAAAGAAGAAGACCTCCGCCACCTCCTATACCGCCAGCTAAACCGTTGCGTTTGATCGAACAGAGACAAAGAGATGTCACCATTAGGTGAATGTCGTTCCATATTTATTCAATCTTCACTTCAATTTTAACCTATTGTACAATATGCACCAAAGAAAATGATTAAAATTGCACTCTGATAAATTTACTGACAGGAATGTTACACGAAACAGTGCTTTGAGTCCTAGCAATCCTAGGACATAGTTATGTCAGCATTTAAACAGAACGTAGCCAATGCAGGAAAATGCAAATTAGTGGCGTTGCTGAAACTTTCCGCTTTGCTGGGTCTGATGTAACATTCTCTGTCTGGGCGACGCATCGCTCGCAATCTGGGATTACAAAGCGAGCATTCGCAATCCTTGAACAGTTGACGTCGCTTGAGTGCAATTTATTTTCGTAATAAATAAATATACGGTGTTGCAGTGAAAAAGAAATTCGATGTCGAAATAATATGTAAAATAAATTTATGTACCAACGATAGAAGGTTCCAGTGAAATGCTAATCGTTTAATTCTTTGAAATGAACAGGAGCAGCAGGATTCCATCGGCGGATTCGATCCCTCAGCAAGTGGACGCTTCTCTGCGACACAGTGCATCGGTTACGACGCTATCGACTCATGCTGGTCAACAAATGAGCAGGCAAACGTTGCAAGCTCTCAGCGCAGTTCCTCGGCCACGAATCGTTCAGAGCGACCAATGGGTCCAACGGAGGAAGAGCGACGTGCCACGAGGTGCTCACGATCTGAACTATCAGCATTGGCTCATTCAGGTAAATATCTTGGAATTTCGTGAAAATAATCGAAATGTTTTAGAAAAGAAACTCGAAGAGTGGTAAATAAAAAGGAAACGTGGAGAAACTTAATGCTTGCGCGTATCAGCAACTGATATCTAAAAAGATTAGCATAGTAGCGACTGGAGATCGTTTTCGCGATATCGTAATAACATTAAGGAAAAGTAGGAATATCGTAGAAAATAGCGAGTTTCACTAACATTTTTGTATCACGTACAGGAAGCGGAGCAAAGAAGGATTAGCGAAAAGAATCAACGATCACCAGCCCGGAAATCACAAATGCACGTAACGGGAACCTCGGTTCCTTATGCTACGACTCCTACGAGGACAGATAGTAAACCATTGCCTGACTCTATCATACAGACTCTGACGCAAAGAGTGCAGAACAGAGCGCAGGAAAAACCTCTGCCACCGAGAAGGAGGTAAATATTTAGAAAAGTATCTCTGATAAATTTATCGTCGATTTCTATTGATCTTCAAAAATCATCCGCTTCGTTTATTGTCTTTATTTTTTAGATTAGAGCATAGTACGAGTCAGGAACACCTATCTGCCCTGCAGCATCAACCTCAGCAACATGTTCTGCAGCCACAGAAACCTCAGCAACCACCGCCGATAAATCAGGAGAATCAAGAGAAAATGTTAAGTGTTAGTGGGAAGAAGAAGTGCTCGCATTGTGGAGATGAGTTAGGTATGAGAAACCAAAGACTGAAGAAAAATAACATTTTGAAGGAATTATTACAAATTTTCTTTAGCGATGATCAAATTATTTGTGTGGATTCTAGGTAAAAGTTTGATTTATGAAAGTAGAATTTGAATGTTTGATTAAAGTTAGCGTTTTCTGTACTATTCTCTGTGATAATATACATTTGGTAATTCGTGCAAATTCTGAATCTAATTTTGAATCATCAGGTCGAGGCGCAGCGATGATCATCGAAAGTCTGCGACTGTTCTATCACATGGAATGTTTCAAGTGCTGCGTGTGTCACGTTCGACTCGGTGATGGATTAATGGGAACAGACGTGCGCGTTAGGAATCAAAAGCTTCACTGCCATAACTGCTACTCCAGTGACGATGGTATCCGCATTTAGCTTTCACTATTTATATCTATGATTAAAATTAGACGAACGTCAATGATCCTCAGTCAACAACTTTTCTTCCTCGTTAAAACGCATAAATGTATAAATAGCTGTAGAATTTGAACTTCAGATAAAAATTATAACTCGATGAAAGTATTACCAAAGATATTAATATTTTTATTTTGCAATGACTCATTGATCAATTTTAATCATAGACAACAGATACGTATAAAATTTGCATAGTGTAAATCTATTTTTTAAACTGTGATGTATCACTATGGTAACTAGTATATCAATTTTTCTCTTTCTCAATGCTATAATTAAAATTGTAATGTTTCAGGTGTCAAGTTCAGTTGCGTGTGAAACCGAAACGGATGAGTGGCTAATGGGACCACATTGACTAACTTGAATATAGCATCATTCGGCTATATTTTATAAGTTATAGTTGACCACTTAGCTACCAGTGACACGCGACAGTGACACCAACGAATTTATATTCTTTTCTGTATATAAAACTCCGACAGACGGTACGTACGAGAAGCAATGGACATGGGTCCTCGTTCCGCGTATGGTATTCCTTCGTGCGCTTTAATTTAAAGATGGCAACAAGATTTTCTTTTCAAGTAACGCCAATTTCTTTTCAATCGACTAACCGTAGGACGTACAGAGAGCAACATGTAAATAAACGTGTATTTATGTAATTAGCGTAATAATAGGGAAAAAGAATCCAATGAGAAATCGCAAAGAGGCAGCTGTTTCCGTCGACCATTGAGAAAAATGCGTCGATTTTGCGTGAATTTAGCAAAATATCGACGATCGATTCACATGTATATTTTTGTAATATAGTTACCCCGTGGTATTTATGAGAGAAGTCCCCTCTGATGTGTGACGGCTATAATAACAAAATCTTCTACCCCTTTTCTATTCCTTTATTCTTTAACTTCTATTCTCTCTTTTACCCTTCTCCTTTTTTCTCTTAGTTTTCTTCAATTTTTCTTCTTTCTTTCATTTTTCTAAATACTTACGAATCAGTAGTTGATTTCAATCGAATCAAATAACTTCTCTATCTTCCACGAGCGATCGTTTAGACTCTAGTTGATTATTACGGTAGCTGCATAACGAGATGCAATTTCAAGGCTCGAGTTTTGTGTTCTTTCCTTCCCTTCACTGTGTCGAAACAGAAAATACACGATGCGTCGCGACTCGGCGACGTTGACATTCGTTGCCCTCGTGATCGACCACGATCGTCGACAGTCGTCATATCGCATCGGACCATGCATACTTGCTATTGTGAAATATTGTATGATATGTGTCTCGTGTTATTGCAAACATGTAATTTTATATTATCGAGAATAAATGTTTATTATAGCGATCGTGAAGTTGATTATCTATCGCCTCGATTTCCTGTCGCCCGGGCATCCTGTTCGCAGAGCTCTGAATTAATTACACGGTGGTTCAACCGCCCGATTATAAGGAATAAAAGACACGCAGATCCCGTGGACCTCGCTCTTTTCGCGAGGCGAAACGATTCGATGATCCTCAGGATATATTTAGCAGCTCCGATGCGTACAAAAGAGCGAACGTAGAATCTTGCTAAGCAGATGAAGAGAGAGAGTCTGATGACGTCGAAGAGTAAAAGGTACGAGGTCGTCGAACGTCTAAGCTTGCTGAGATACAGTTTCGAATCGGATGCTACTTGGCGTAGATTTTATTGAAAATCCTTTCAAGTTTCTAGGTCGCAAGTGTTTCTTGCAATAGGAGTGAAGAGAAACTAAACTCTTCCTAATGGCAATAAAAAGAATTAGGCTCGTAAATGGAAAAGAAATAGCGAACTGTAGGTGAAAGTGTGAGTATGGTGGATTATCTTTTTATTTATAAGGACCTGTAAATAAATCAGCGTGTGCTAAAAATAAAACTGTTATCCAGTTCCTTGAATCTTCCTTCATAAATTTGTATATCATAAATATGTTCGCGAACGTAATAAAAATCATGCTGTTCACTTTAGGGAATTTTTAGACTCTGTAGGCTGCCAAATGTAGTTTCCAGTAACCTTTTTACATCATTTTTTAAAATGACAGCATCATTTCAATCAATATTTAAAATCCAAGAGAAAACCACGAGGACAAAATCTTTTGTTTCAAATAAATTCCAACTAGCATCAAATTATGAACATAAATTGTATAAGTATGTAGTCTATAATTCCAACTTTGCTTTGCAGATATAAATGTTCATGAATTAATTACAGAAACTTGGAAATTTATTAATTTTCTACTGTCGAATTGATTTATTAGGATGTATTAGGAGCACATAATCAGAGGAGGTAACTAGTTTAAATAAAAATTTTACCGCCTGCGATCAATGCCATCTATGATTTTAGACCTGAAGATCGGAAAAGTAACAGGAACACAGAATAGGCAAGGAGGTCGTCGAAGATGTAGTCACGTGATAGACAAGGACAGAAAGCGGCTAGAAAAGGATAGAAACGACGCGACACTGAAAAATCACAAATTATCAAGTTTCTATGATTAATTTATGAACTTTTATAGCTGCATCGTAAAGCTAGGGCTTTGGGCAACATTCTCATGCAATTTACGGTAATAATTTGTGGCTACTTAGTTAGTTATTAATAATTATTTGAAGGCGTAGATGATTTGATAACAACGACGGCCATGATTGTCGGTCATAATATTTAATTATGAACAAAACAGTAATAAAATATGAACAAAAGTTATATGGGAATATTGCTATGGATATTGTTTTTATAATGAGTGCATGAATGTGACAAATTAATGGCATAGGAGATAGGTATTAATGAACAACTATTAGTATGTACGGCATTAATTCAAACACTCCGTGCAATAATTAGTAATAATTTATTAATCAGGACGAAATTTATATCTAAAGTGATATTGGAAAATTCTTTAAGGCTGCCCCTTTACGATGCATTTATAAAAGTTCACAAATTGATCACAAAAATTGAATAATTTGTTAATTTTCCTTTCAAGTCAATTGTATTGGTGAACCATTATTTCTACCCTTTCCTAAGGCCAGTGCAAATCGTTGATTGGCGTTGAGATAGCCAATAAGAAAGAACTGCGATCCATGCCATCTGTGATTTTTGACTCGAAGCTTTTGACGATCAGAGCGCCGCCTGTAGGCTTCAAAGGGAAATTAACAGAGGTTGTCGGATACCTCCTCGCTCATTCTGTGTTACTGTTACTTTCTCGAGTTTCGAGTTCAAAATGGCGCTGATCGAAGACGCTTGGAATTAGTTACCTACTTTGTTTATCTGCAGCTAATACATTTTAATATATCAATTCGGCAGTTGACAATTGACAAATTACCAAGCTCCTGTAATTAATTCGTGAACTTTTGTAGTTTATTGCAAAGCTGGAACTGTATGCAGCATTCTTAAGCACTTTACGTAAGTAACCTGATGCTGTTATTAATAATTATTTAAAGTTTGTTATTAATTATTATTTGAAGGCGTATGATGCATATTTGCAACTGCGAGTGGAAAATAAATCTGTAGCTGGTAGGAATAACAAGAGATTGTAGCAGCAATGAAAATAAAAGAAGACCTCAGGTGCGTAATACAAGGAGGAATGTGTGTAGGGTGTGCATGTACTAAGAAAAAAAAATAAATCAGCAGGTTATGGACTCAGAACACAGGCCACATGCTTTAGCGTGGAAAAGAAAATTCAAGATGGAAATTGGAAATGTCAACAGATAAAAGGATAAAGATGGATATCATTTTTGGAAATTTAGAGTAGGCTTTATGCTGCGGTCTCAAGGTTTGTATAGATATATAATGAAAGAACTAAAAATGTAAGAAAGTACAAACAGAAAGTTGAAAATCTAATAATTTTTGTCATAGGCGAAGAATTATTAATTCATGCAACAATTTGTACATCGAATCATAAGGTGTGAGTAAAATTAAGCAATATCTATGAGCCGGATACAGAACAGCAAAGATGTTTTCATACATAGGAATTTTTCATGTATAAATATAAAAGTGAACATGATATTTTAACCCACGTTGCATATCTGAAGGGTAAGTTTTCAAATTGCATACATTCCGAAGTAAGATAGAAGAAACAATGCTTGTAACTAAAATCTTATTTATGTTTCTGAGCAGGTATCGTCTATTTGCTAGTGTATGAGAGTTAATGCAGAAAGAAGAAAAGATAATAGATTATTTCACTGCTTGATTGATTGCTGATGAGATGAGGGGAAAAGCAGATCAAAATGAACATGGGGTCTTTAAAGCTTAAGAAAAAGAATGTTTCAAATGTAACTCAACTAAACATCTTGCATGTGCATGTTGGAACGACAGTGAAGGTAACAAAGAAATAAAATGTTTTAGTTGTGGAAGATTGGGATTAAATTTCAAAAAATTTTTAGGATCAGGATGAAAAGAAGAGGCTTAAGAAATGTACCCTCCATGTGGGACATGTAAGTATCCTAATTTGGAAAAAATCATTGGGATTGTTATTTTAAAAACATGAAAGAAAAAAAGGAGATAAAGATAAAAACAGAAAGTATGTTTCTTGACAGAGAGCAATGGAACAGCACAATGTGGTTAGCAAAGTAGAATATTTTAAAGAATAGAAAGAAATAGGAATGGAAATTGGATTAGTGCAAAGAAATAATATTTGTGTGTTCAAATAGAATTTATTGTCAGTAGATCTGATAACTGGGAATGATGGTGAGATAATGTTCAAGGAAAATGAAGTAATAGTTTATAAGAAAGAAGAAAAAATATTAATAGGGAAGAAATATAATAATGGACTTTACAGTGTGGAAGAGTTAAAAGAAAAAAATACAGCTTAGAGCATTACTGGCGGAGAGCAACAAGAAGCTGATAGAGTGGCACAGAAAATTGAGTCACCTAGGTATTGAAAATATGAGAGAGTTGTCTAAGAAAGCATTGGGAACGAAATTAACAAAAAGAGAATTAAAGTCAAGAATTGGGGAATGCAGGATATGTGTGCAAGCAAAGCATTCGAAGCCTCCATTTGTAGAGACAAGGAGAAGGGCGAAAAGGTTTCTAAAAATAATATAATAACATTTTGATATATGTGAGCCAGTAGAGCCAGAGACATGGGACAGAGATAGGTATGTGATGACAATCATAGATTTTATTCATTTTGTGATGATATATCTTATGGAATCAAATACTGAAGTACTACAGAGAGTGTAAAAGTATGTTGTAGGAGCAGAAGCAAAGTGGAACACCACACAGACTTCGATACGATAATGGAGGAGAATATACCATCTGAGAGTTTAAGAATTGGTGCAAACAGACGGGCTTTCTAAAAACGCACGATTTTTGGATAAAACGAAATATTATGGAAAGGGTATAAAGATTAGGAGGTTCATCGTTGTTTTATAAGTTTAAAAGAAAACCGCCGAGTGTACTTAATGACAAATTAATAACAAATTCGACCGTAACAAATTGTTCGCAATATAAAATTTATAATAAGAGTAAAAAATTAATAAATTATTGACTATTACTTAAACTTATAAAGAACTTATATAAAAATGTACAAATAATTTTCAAAAAGTTTATAAATTATTACACCTAATGTTAATAACAAATTGATATTGTTATTAACCAATTGTCCGCAAAGTAAATTTGTAACAAAAGTGAAAAAATTAATAAATTACTGGCTAGTACCTAAGTTAATAGCGAATTTATGTTAAAATGTAGCGATAATTTGCAAAAAGTTTATAAATTATTATACCTATTGTTAATAACAAATTGTTTAGAACATATATTTATAATAACAATAAAAAAATTAATAAATTATTGGCTCCTGTAGCGGAAAAATAATAATTAGTGGAATCAGTAAAGTTCGAAAATTTTTAGTCGTGGAGGGGGACTCGGCCGATCGGCGGCTATATAAGGAGCGACGCGACGTAACAGAACTCATTTGTTCCTTCGACTTCGGAAGTGTAATATCAAAATTTTCGTTGTGCGCGAGGGGTTGGGATTCGAAATGAGGTTGGGGCTGGCCCCCCCACCCTCACCCCACCCCATTAAACAATTTACTAATAATTTTTATTTTGTTTTCAGATATTAATTATTTTTTTTCTTTTCAGATGTTATTTATTCCTTTTTACTTATTTTCGTTTTACAATTCGAATATTTCTTATAATATTCGAATGTTTCGTCGTTGGTTTGTTTATGTCTCATCGTTGGGTTGTTCATTCCGCTTATTCTTTTCTTTCCTCTTACTAATACATTTCATTTCAGATTTTAATTTTTCTTCCAGGTTTTAAATATTTTTTACTTTTCAGATTTTATTTTTGTATGGTAATTCGAATATTTCGAATAATATTCGAACTTTTAGTCGTTGGTTTTCTTATGGGTCTTCTTCGGGACGTTTATATCTCATCGATGGGTTCTTTATGTCTCATCGTTGGCTTGCTCCTTCCATTTGGTTAACCTTCATGGTTTCCATTCGTTCGTTTTCTTTTATCGTACTAATCCGTTTTCTTTCAGGTTTATATTAACAATAATATATTCTGTTTTAGCTTTTAGGTTTCTCAAGATTCTCAAGTTTTTTCATGACTTCATTTGAGACACAAATGGACAATGCGGGATGCGTGCGTTTAGACTTAAGTAGACCTAAGTAGTCGTAAGATAGATGTCTAGGCTAAGTTCCATGTGCGTGCTATCTATACAAAGGTAAGCTACCTAACTTGGAGCGAAATTTATAAATTCTATATCATCTTTTCCCTATCGTTTACCAAATAGAACATAGTTGTTCTCGCGATATTCGCGACTGTTCTTAAGTACCGACTAGCCTACGTGACGTGCTCTCGTGTACTGGATAAGTACATGCTTCGTAAGTCATCCTCACGACTCGTCTCCGACACTCATTCCCAGTCACTGTCAATCTCGTCATGCATCGGGTTCCAGGGAGACCCCCTCGGATCAGTGCGTCTTCTGACCTCGACGGGGCGGTCCGCTGCCTCAGTCGTACGCGACTGGGGCTCGGGCACATGCTGGCTGACGGACTAGTACCATCTACGGTTAGACCACAGGGATGATTAAGTTCTACCCCGTGTGGCTGGGATGCGAAGTGTCTGTCTTGGCCGGCAACCGCCCAGCAGGGCCCTCGCGTTGACACTAGAAGTTTCATTGGTTCAGGGACTATCCTTGGTCCACGTGTAAGTCTTGGCGAGTGCGACAGTGACTGGAATTGAGCTAGGCCCGATCGGGAGGGTGCCGAGGTATGAAGTTATCTCTGTACACGGGAGTACATCGCCTAGGCTAGTCGGTCTTTCGAATAATCGCGAACTCCCTTTTGTAAGACACGAAATATAATAAAGTGTCAGTAGAGTCATTTTAATTTAATTCGCTCCAAGTTAGATTAGGCTACCTTCGATACGGACAGCACCAGTAGGCTGCGCCACTAGGGCGCATGTCGGGTCTCGATGCGTAGCCACCTCCACGTGGTGAGACCTGGTAATTGGAATTATTTTCCAAAGAGAAATCTTTGGAAAATAATTCCAAGCTAAGAGCTACGCACAAAGTTTAAGATATTAACTATCTCTTGTAAATTTTCAATGTTCTCTTTGAACTCTGGAAATAGAGAGCGGGCAATATCTGCTTAAATAATATTTAAATGAAGAGGAATTAAGGTAAGTAAGGAAAGTAACAAGGGAAGGTAAGTAAGTAAGGTGAGTATAAGGTAAGTATAACGTAGGTAAAATAATTAAAATGTACTGCAAAGCAGAAAAAGAATTGTCCAAAGAATTCTTGGAAATGACGTAAAATCTTGGAATTGGTCGGCGAGCGACCTCCTTTCATATTATGTTATCCTGATACAAAATCGCGAAATTGGCCGAAACCTTTTCGCACAGGCAGCAAAAGTATTGCTCGCAAAATTCTTGGAAATGACGTAATTTCTTGGAAGTGACTCGGTGATAGACCAACTTTCATGTCATGTTCTCCTGTTACAAAATCACGAATTCGGCCGAAACATTTTTGCACAGGCTGCAAAAGTATTATCCGCCGAATTCTTGGAAATGACGTCATTTCTCGGAAGTGACTCGGCGATAGACCAACTTTTGTGTTATGTTCTCCTGATACAAAATCGCGAAATCGGTCAAAATGTTTTTTCCGAGGCCGCAGAAGTATTGACCGCGAAAGCGGTAAAAGTATTGTCCACCGTGGCGGCAAAAGTATTGTCCATCCTGGCGGCAAAAGTATTGTCCACTGTGGCGGGAAAAGTATTGACCAAAAACGGCAAAAGTATTGTCCGCGTAAGCTGCAAAAGAATTGTCCTCGGAATTCTTGGAAATGATGTCAGTACTCGGAACTGTCTCGGCGATAGACCTCCTTTCATGTTATATACTCCTGATACAAAATCGCCAAATTGGCCGAAAATTTTTCGCACAGGCTACAAAAGTATTGCCCGCGGAATTCTTGGAAATGACGTAATTTCTTGGAAGTGACTCGGTGATAGACCAACTTTCATGTCATGTTCTCCTGATACAAAATCACGAATTTGGCCGAAACATTTTTGCACAGACTGCAAAAGTATTGTCCGCCGAATTCTTGGGAATGACGTCATTTCTTGGAAGTGACTCGGTGATAGACCAACTGTCATGTTATGTTCTCCTGATACAAAATCGCCAAATTGGCCGAAACTTTTTCGCACA